TGTTTATTATGTTTGGCCCGAATAGCAGATTCAGGTAGCTTGTTATTCTCTGAATTCTGCAGAAGTTCTATCAGTAGCGTGAAACAAAGAATGGAAAGATGTCTTCATCAAGGTGGCAGACACTTTGAACATCTATAATTATCTTTTCATTTCTGAGGGATATTAAATTTTTTTCAAGTAAAAGTTGTTTTTTTTTAAAGCTCTATTCAACGATACTCATACTGCCTTATGTTGACATTAAAAAATTTGAAGTTACCTTCAGTTTCTGATATTTCCGAGAGTTTCCCAAAAATGAAAATATTATTATCAGAAACTTCAGATAGGCTTTTATGGTAAACATGTGTTCCCAACTTTTTAACACTATCCAATTTCAAAATAAAAACAGAATTAACACTGGCAAACAGAATTTTTGGGAAACTCTCGGAAATATCAGAAACTGAAGGTAACTTCAAAGTCTGAAACATCTTATATATTATTTGTTATAAAACCCGAATATTGTGTATACTATAAAAGTTTGTGGATGAAAATTAATGTAAAAACATTGAAATGACCAATAGAAATCATAGCGGAAGTATTTGTTTATATATTATATATAATTTAAAAAAAAATATAACATAAGACACACTAGTACAATGAATTTTATTCTTTTGAATGTATAATAGATTGTATAACGAACTGTACTTTCACATGTAAATAGATCAAATAACAGTTAAGATTATTGTTATAGGCTGTTTTTATAATCAGTATTCTTACGAGTATTGATCATCGTAAAGTACACAACATTATACTTAAAATAATTAAATCATTTTAATATTTAAATCATTTTAATAATTAAATCATAATTTATTATTATTCTTTATTATACAGGGTGTCCCGCATAAGGGACAAGAAGAAAAATATAAATAGAACAAATAAAAATAAACAAATATTGTATAGGTTATTTTTCAAACAACCACGTAAGATTTCGAGTTATTAAATAAAATAGATGAACAAATCAGAACGCGCGTCGCTGCAGGCGGGACATAAGGCTTGCCGCGGTCGGCGAAGAAAATAGACGAGCGCACACGTACACACGGAGCTACTCATTTTCGTATGCCAAACGGCCCACCTCTCTGGTCTATAAGATAGGCTTGCGAACAATCGTCCATTTTTTTCGCCGGCTGCGGCGAGCTGTATGTCCCGCCTGCCGCGTCGCTGCGCTCTGATATGCCCAACTATTTTAATTAATATCTCGAAATTTTACGTGGTTATTTGAAAAATGATCTATACAATATTTGTTTATTTGTTCTATCTTTTATCTATTCTATCTATATTTTTTTTCTTGGACGCCTTATGCGGGACACCCTGTATATAAATAATCAATATTGCGTGATTGTTAGTATTTCTGCTACAAAGAATAATAAAAATTAATGAAATTTTAAAATACAGTGGTTACTAAAAAATAATAGTGGTTACTAAAGAAAAAAAAGAATTAATATTCCGGATATCTGAATTCTTTATCTCTTCCCTCCTCTCTCTCTCCCTTTCCTTCTTTCCCTCTCTCTCTCTCTCTCTCATCGACTGCAGATGAAAAAGTATAACACGCTCAGCGATCGCACTTTATTGCTTGCTGAGACTAATAACAACAATTGTAAGTTATAACATAGTTTAAATATAATGTCTATTACAGCAGTAACTATCGGTGCTTTTGATGTCGCAGTTATGTGATAAAATGACCTATCTCTATGTCTTTGTTTAGAAAGACACAAAGTTTTAAAATATAATAATTTCATTGTTATAGAGTTAGTCGTAAGGATATTTATCTAAGAAATTGTTGAAATAAACATATCATTCAGAAATTAAGATTTTGAAATTGAAAAATAAATATAATTGATATTATTGAGCAAATAAGTATTTTAAACCTTATTACACGAGTTAAAGATTTTGCTGAATATAATAAGCAAAATTTATAAATAAAAATTAGACCATATTTTATAACTGACTTAATGTGTCTACTTCAAATATAGAATTGTATTATATGCTCTTATGAAAAAGTACTACTAGTGGCACTATTAGAACTATAGCACTAATGATATTTATAATGCTATAGTGACACTATTAGTAACACGGTTAGTGGTAATAGTTCTAGTAGTTACTTTTAAAACGTTAAAAACAATGGGTTAAGTTCACTTTTTTTTATTAAAAAAACGTTTTTTCAAATTTTTTGGAAAAAAGTTTTAAAAATATTTAATAAACGTTTTTGAAATATTTATTAAATGTTTATGTGAACATTTATAAATATTATAAAAATATAAATATTTTTCTTTTTTCTTGAATTTTTCTTAAATTTTCCACTTTATTGTTTCACACGCTATTTAATTCAATTTAAATTGTACTTCGAAAATTTGCTTACCAATGTTGGGACTCAAACCTGAGACCTCTACTTCTTGAGTCGTTCACCTTATCCATTGCCTCACTGTCACTTTCACCGAGAGACACTTTATATTATATACATATGGTATATCCATGTACGAAAAAAATGATTTATTAAAAAAAAAGAATAGTTCTTTTTAAATGTAAAAAGTATGTTTGAAAAATAAATATTAAATCAATTAACACTAAAGAAATATTTATTTAAATATTATTTTAAATGTTTGATTAATATAATACAAATATTAAATAAATTAAATAAACGTTTCTTTAAATATTATTTTAAATATTTTAATGTCAAATAAACGTTAAATAAATGTTATATCAATATTTTTCTTAAATCTTTAATTAAATGTTTAATAAATGTTATATAAACGTATAACAAATATTAAATAAATATTATTTTTATAATAAACTATATAATGTAATAACAATGAAAAATAAATATTTAAAAAACATTGTCTGCTGATTGGGTAGAAATGTAATTGTCATAGAAAATAAATTTTTGTACAGGAAAAATAATATTTAATAACCTTATAAACGTATTCCTGTAATAATATTTCATAGTTTTTTTATAGTAATAATAAAGTTTACATACTTATACACATCAGCTCATCAAGAGTAACTTATAATACTCGTATTACCACTATTGTCATTTGTAGTGTCACTTCTAACATTACTGGTGTCACTAATAATATCACTGCTAATACTAGTAATGTCACTATCAGCACTAATAGTGTTACAATTAATGTCACTACTATGTAGTACTATTAATGTCACTACTAGAGTCATTAACAGTGCCACTATTAACATTAATAGTGTCACTATCAGCTCTAATAGTGTAACTAACAGTGTTATTATTAGCACTAATAGTGTCACTATTAGCACTAATAGTGACACTATTAGCACTAATAGTGAAATTATTAGTGACATTATTACCACTAATAGTATTTTTTTGTAAGGGTTGGCAAGAGCAAAGAGATATATGAATAAATGTTTATGTTTTTATTTATTTATTTGTTGAAGTTTTTACTTATTTGTCAAAAATTATACAATTACACAAATAAATACATAAATTACACAATATATATTACACAAATAAAATAATAAATTTTCTTAGAAAATTATTAGAAGAATTATTATTATTAGAAGAAAACCAAAAAAACTAATTTCTTTTGTGAGAACTAATATTATTGCATGTAAAAACAACACATATAAATTCATGTATAGTATCACCTCCCGAGCGCGAACATAACATGGCAGACAGCGCACTGGTCTACCGTGCTTAGGGATCCCGGGTTCGATTCGTGGCAGAACCGAAGAAATTTTTCATACGCTCGTGTTTTTCTCGGAAGAAAGCGGCAACCGACCGAGAGTATCTCTTGCCAAGAACACCTTTCATAATTATCTGTTGTATTCAACATCATTTGCCGTTCGAAATCGGCGTTAGGTCCCATATGCCTGTATATAATCAGCGTGCGCACCACAGATAAATGAAGAAAGGTCACCACATTTGGTTACAAGTAAAAGGACTAGAGAGAGAGAGAGAGAGACAGTATCACCCATGTTTATTTAATGTTTTACTTCTTGAGAGACAAATAAACAAGGAATAAATTTATTATGTTATACTATTTTTTACTATCTTGGTTTTTCTTTATTAATTTTCTTTGTTTATTTATGTACTTATATCAGAAAAAGTTGCTCCACTATATTACTGATTGTACCGTTTGCACATGCGCACTGGAAATTTATTCCTACATTCCTGGCTACTGTCGTGACTGGTTATACTTAAACTGTGGTTATTGTACAACTGAGCAAACGTCCAATTTTAATTGCAAAGTTTCAGTCTGTTAACAATGAATGCGATCTGGCCACGTCCAACGCAGAGTATGACTAAATCTAATATGACCTTGTATTGACAAATTGACAATTATCAACTGAAGAGGACCACATCCCATTGTCGAAACGTTTTGTAATTTGTAATTTATAATTTAATGAATATATAAATTAGCGCTTAATATCCGCACTTCGGCTCTTTAGTCCTTTTCTAAATCATATTTAATTGAAAATTTCCCAGATCCATGTACTCAAACCCTTTTACAGTGTTTTAATACTTAACACTATTTTTCGAATAAATTAAGACTCATTCCATTTCGCAATTTGTGCCATCTCCTTAATTATAACTAATGAAAAACATTAATTATTGTTTAATAAATATTAATTGTTTGAAATTATTTGCAGATTAATTACGATTAATTACATTTTTCATGCTATACATTTAAAACATCAATCTATTTTTAATAGGTATAATGTGATACTTATTGTATATTATATTTACGCGTTTCATGCGCAAATGGCATTTAAGAGTACATTTTCATTTTAAGCGTGGTAAATGATAATGTGAAAGGTGAATCTTTATTTATCGCTCATTGATTTACGCTCTGCATTTATAAGAATGCATCTGCCGTAGTGCATGCCACGTAGTTATGTACAATCGCGTAGCTGTGTACATGTAGTCTTTGGAATTACGCGACGATGCAGGTCAGGCAATGCGAGCGAGAAATTCTGAATGTAGTGTTGTGATCGGGCAGAATGAAACTGAGCAGGCAGAAAGCCAGCAACAGCAACAACTCGAGCAACATCAAGCGCAACAACAACAATTGATACAGCAGCAAAAGCTAGGTACAGAGAGATCTGCTGAAGCTGGCAGTAGACTGAGCAATGGGAGTCTCGATCCGGCTGATCAGGACTCAGCGGTGCGAGTAATAGACTTACAAGCCACTCTCGATAAACAGGTATGAATTCCGTATTTGTATTGTACAACAAAACAACTAGAAGTTGTCAACTATTAACAGAACTTCTCTCACAGGTAGCTCTCTGTCTATTTACACTAACATGTTTAAAAATTATTATTATTTTATAAGTTTAATTAAAATTATATAAATTCTATCTTCTACAACGCATTCCCCTCGTTTTCAATGCTATACCTCTAAAACTAACCTTTAAAACGGTTATACCGTTTTAAATTTTGCATGAATTATTCATTTGGTGCACAGCATTCACTGTAACATGTGAATTGAATAGAAAACGTATTGAGTAATATTTATTGTGTGTAATCCCAATACTGACTATTAAAATAATCGTGTTTAATTTTAATACTTTTAGCTTCTATTGCTCTAATACTTAGTAAAAATTAGTTTGTTTTACTGAAACCTGGTTTACATGCATTTTATTATATATTCGTTTCATTAGAATGCACGATCAGACCTTAAATAAATAATATTAGATACCATTTTCGTCTTGTAAAAAAAAAAAGAAAAAAATTACATAAAAACGGAATTATGTGAGATGTTAAACATACGATTAAATGTATAGATATGTAATTCAATTTGATATCAAATATAATATTAATTAATACGCTATGAAGCGCATAATATGAACTACTTTTTTAATTAATACTCTATCTTAAATGATAGCATGTTATGGAATGATTAATCAGTATTTGTATTAAACGTTTTATAATTGCATGACTAGTGGGTAAGAATAAGTTTTACATAAGTCAACATATATTCCTCGTTTAAAAAGTTTCGCTGATTTCTCTATACAGGGTGTCCCGCATAAGACATGCCAAAAGAAAAATATAAGTAGAACAGATAAAACTGAACAAAACTTGTAGAGGTCATTTTTCAAACAACCACGTAAAATTTCGAGATATTAATAAAAATAGTTGGACAAATTAGAGCGCGCGACGCGACGGGCGGGACATACGGCTCGCCGCGACCGGCGAAGAAAATGGATGATTGCTCGCGGGTCAATTTCATAGGCCAGAGAGGTGGGCCGTTTGCTAGCATATGGAAATGGAAAGCTCCGTATATGCGTCCGTATACGTGTGCACTCTGACGTCGGGCGACGAGTAACAGAAGGAGGTAGATATATGACGTTCCATCTCTTTCTCTCGTGCACACGTTATTCTTTTCACAGTGACCGTCACGGCAGCGATGCTGGGCACGCGGGCACTTCTACGTACAGAAAGAGGAACCAAGTACGCTTAACGCTTGAACTGTCAACATACATGTATAATGTACGCGCATGCATGGCTGCTTCTTGTGTACGTGCACTGTTAAATCTGTAATGTCAAATTAATATATTTGAGTAATTTAACTATTCCTATAAGTTGCCACTGCTCCTACTAAATATGTCGTTAATTTAACTAAGATAAGTAAGATAATGGAGTTAAATAATTTAACTTAAACACAATGTTTTGTGTTAAAATAGTAAATTTCGATACACATGATAATTAAAAGTAACTAAATATTATTGAAGTCAAGAAACTGATTTAAATTAGACTCTCAAATATTAAACAGTGTACGGGCCGCGTCTTCTGTTTGGTATCACACCGTGACCATCGCTGATTCGCCTGAGCGAGAGAAGAAGACAGAACGTCATACGTCTGTCTCCTTGTATTACCCGTTGCCCGACGTTCCGAGCACACACGTATTCGGA